TATTCATTCAACCAATGTCAAGGAATCGAAAAATCCCGAAAAAAGGAAGAGAGAAAACACAGCATAGAGTCCGTGCAAAGAAACGAGTCACACGCCCCTAAAGCCCATTTAGCTAGCTCATGAACAATAACATTATTAGCTCTAGCAACATGACCACAAACACTACAATTAAAGGATGACAAAAGATTGATAACATTTTCGATAATATGTTGCAACGTATCATTTGAAAGGCGGTGAGTAATTCCATGGATGACAGAAAGAGCATCAGTCGCAGTAGTTTGAATCATTAACCCATATTCCATGGAACAACAGAGTCCGAACCGTAAGGTTATAGCTTTAGCAGCTGTCAGAGAAAAGGATTCGGATTGTCGAGATGCGAAAGCGGCCCAACACACTCCCTCTGGGTCACAGATCCACCCTTCTAAACCAATCGATGCTTCACATACAACTGCATCACAGAAAAAGGGTGAATCCATTTTTGCAAGTGCCAGGCCCAAGCCAAGAATCATCAGTCCGGGTCAGTGGTCGGTTTGAAGTGGCCGCGTATGAATATACAAGGCTCAACTCCTCAAGCCACCCTCGTCCAGATGCCAAAACTTGTTCGACACTTCTCCCTGCCAGATCATGTCGTAAACGATTTCTCTCTTGCCAAATAAGCCATAAGAGAGTGGCAAACATAGTGAACTCATTTCTCCTCGGTCCATCAAGAATTTCAGTGAAGATCGACATAAACCCCATGTCGCGTCCGCTAATATGTCCCACTAGCCAGTCAATTTCCAAAGACGCTTGATCCACTTACAATCAAAGAAGACACGGTCATTCCGCATCTGTGCATTTTACTTCCACATTTATGTGACGTCGAGCCAAATTCTCATAAGAAGGAAAAGCCTGATTGCTCAGTTTCCATAAAAAAAAATAAAAAATTAACTTTCGAAACAACATATATTTTCACAAAGTTTTTCACCACCTCGTATTGCTATTCGAACAAGATTATCGGGAGTCATTAGGAAGGGATTTCAATAAGTGGTAGCCACTTTTCACCGTATAAGAACCACTCTCTGAGTGGTGCCAAATTAATTGATCCGCAGAGTGGGTAAGACTCAAAAGAATAGAGAGAAACTTTAGTGCATCAATGAGTAAAAAAATGTTATTAATCAAATTCTCGTTCAAAGAACCACTTACCCCATGAGTCTATACCAACCACTCGTCCGGAAAAAGGGATAAAAATAACGAAAATGTGGTATCCAGGTATCGAAGTAGACTCTGATTTGTGACCCGTCTCCCACTCTCCATCTCAACCCCGCTTGAATTACCTCTCATCCCCACAAGATACTTTTTCCAGATAAAAGAAGAGTCCACACGGCTCTGAGCGTTAAGAAAATGGTCAGAAGGAAAATACTAAGCCTTGAGTACCCAAGATACCACACGCCTTAAATTTTGAATTTTAAAAAAATTGAAGGTATAATATTTTTTAAGTAACTACGAGGTTGTATGGGACGACTGTAACAACAAATTTTATGAAAAACATAAAATTTCTGTACAATTTGATTATATTTCGATCAAACGATATGCGAGTACAACCTCTATTTATCTCCTCTGATTCTTCTCTTCATGGATTTGGGTTTGAGATCTTGAAAGATGGATTTGACGATTGAACCTCCTTCGGGCTTGGTCTTGAATTTCTCTAACATTAATTTGGGGGTCGAATGACTTATTCCCTTATTAAATGTTAGGCATTGACTTGATTGAAGACAACTTCTTAGAGAACTTGTTTCTTTTATCTTTTGGAAAGAGGGACTTTGACTTGAATAACGTTGACTCGAGGGCTTAATAGCTTCTTCCCGGATCAAACGCTATGTTGGTTGAACTTATCAACGAACGCGGCTTGAATGTCGCTTGAACGTTGTTGATATTCTTGGATTGACTTGAGAGGAGTGGAAGTCGTCTCTTTACTTCTTGGGGAAGATTCGCCTCCTCTTTTTCTTCTTCTTGGCCTTCTTCTTCATTGAATGGACTTCGGGCGGTCCTTCAAAAACTTCTTCAAATCTTCAAGAGGGTTCTTGAGAGCTCTTGAATTTGAGACTATAATATTTGAGATGTGTTTGATATATTTGAGGTGTTTGAGGTGTTTGATGCGTGATTTGTGGCATTGAGGAGAGCCCTATTTATAGGTGTAGGAGAGAGTCTTGGAAAAGAAGACTTCAATTTGATTGGTCCTTCATGATTTGACATAATCTTTGTCCTTATCCTAAGATTTGATTTAATCTCTTTCCTTATCCTAAGATTTGACTTGGTGGGCAAGAAACAATTATTTTATTAATTAGAAATCTTATTTATCTTGGATTTATGTCCCAAAAATAAATAAAGACATTAATTAATAAAATATTAAAATTTCGATGTCTACAACGACCCAAATTCTTTTTTTTGCCTCGTGCTCCCTTGCAACTTGAATCGAATGGTAGATATTAATTTCCGAGTCAATCTAATGATGACAAAGGGAGTACCTGATGCTATGTAGGTACCAGGTGTACCCGACCATAGAAGGTCCATAGTAACTATTATATGATAGTACAATAAAAAATAGGATCATTACTTAATTAATGTAAAATATAACGATTTATTATTTTCATAAATAACTTGACAAAGAATGGAAAAGAAATAAGTTGTCACACATGATTTGCTTAAAATTTTACATTATATAATATACTAGTACAACATCCGTGTATTACACGGGTGTTTGCTAATTTTTTTCTTAAAATCTAAAATTAATGAGAAAAAGTAGTTGAAATTTTAAATACCTTTTACAAAAATATATATACTATTATATATTTAGTATGATACTTTTTATTTGTTCGACTTACATGTGTTATATTATAATATTTTTTTTAACTTACAACATATATTAATACACTAAAAATAAATATATCAATTGATAAATAATTTTATTTTTCTAATGAATTTTAATAAATATTATTATTCTTTATTATTATAAAGATAAATATAATTTATTTATTTCATATATACAATATGAATGTCAAATCGAAGATCATCAAAAGATAATTAATTTGATATATAATATATGTAAAACCAATAAGAAATACAAAAATTATCAACTTTTAAAATACATTTACAATTTAATAGCTAATAGAAGGAAAGAAATCAAAGTGAGGATATATTAGTCATTTAGTGTCTCACTATGTAAAATTACAAATAAATATATTAGTCACTTAGTGCCTCACTATGTAAAATTACAAATAATTAAAGAGTTATATTAGTACGAGTGATATTAAGATACCTAAGTTAGATAAATAATATTTATGGAATGTCCGAACCTAAATTATTAATTATTAATATATCAATATTATTTGTCCAAACCTAATTGTAAAACATAATTATGAAGCACCCAGAAGTAGTCACGCATACAGAAATTATATATAGGGAGGATGTATACATATAGTAAGAAAATTTTAGTATACATTTATTTTAGGGTGATAATAGTTATTTTCTCTTTTATTAGTTACAAAATCGTCTAATAAGCTCAACCAATAGAAAAACTCGTATAGAATCGGGAATTATATAAATGTAAATAAATGCAAAATAAAGAAAATATACGAAATAATATCAAGAAGAAAATCCTCATCGCGAGGGTCACACTGTCCGAATCCATTTCCCGGTCGTCGACCGTGCGCCGCCGGCCCGTCGCCGTTAATCAGAAAGCAACTG